CAGGACTGGTAATAAGGACAAAGTGGAGGCTGGCTGGTATGGCCGGGTTTATTTCACTTGACATCCGATCGGTCCTGGGGGAGGTGAGGATGGGCGGCCCAAGTAGAAGGATGGGCCTGGGTTACACATACATGGGCAGGAGCGGCCCTGATGGGGCCTGAGAGGAAGGGCAGGCAGCTGTGGGCCTGGGAGAGGGTGAGGTGGGTCCCTAGCCTCAGATTCTGTCCCAAGCAGTAAGCTTGGTGACATCTGTAGTACAGTGCTTGAGAGGAAGAGGCCAGCTTGGGGCTATAGACCCAAACACCAGAAGCGAAACCACAAAACGAGTTCTGAATGCCTGCTTCCGTGGTGACACAGCTGCTGCCATTGTGTGTGTAGCTGGGGAGGAACAGCCCAGAAATGAACAGATAGAAGAACATCTCCTAAGGCCACATGCCACGGTCTGACATTCCACCCACAGAGGTTCCAGATGAGAGCAAGAGGCGGTCAAATGTATGCAGATTGGGCAGGATGACCAAAGTGACAATCATTTCAAGCCCTGAAGGAGGTGTGTCCTTGGAGAATGCCCACGTCCAGGGACAGGTGCAGACCTTAACTGAAACCCACAGTTTGCCTTCTTCCTTCACTGTTGCAACCACACATTAAGGCTAGTCTGGTTGGTTTTCCTGGAAGGCTCAAAGGTCTCTTCCTTTAGGGGAGCCAGGGGGGGCCCAGGTATGACTTTGGCTTGGGGCATGGCAGGTGGGGGAGGGGCCAGGGAAGCTAAGGCTGCCACCACCATCTCCTCCCCCCAAGCCAGCAACAGCCGCTGGATCTTTAAAAAGAAACAAGTGAGAGAAGTAGGTCACCCCTATAGTAGCTTGGCCTCCATTCTGGAGCTGTTAGAGACACTGCTTGTGCTACTCCCCCACCCTGTCAGTAACCCTGGAAAAGTGAAGGAAGAGGAGCATTAAGTTTTGGTGAGTCAATAGGGCTTCAATCTTGTTTTAGTGCCTGTTAGCTGTGTGATAGTCTATAATCACTTAGACATGTGTGCATGTGTGTACTGGTGCTATGGCTTTAAGTTGGAGACTGTCCTTTAACATTTTTTTTTTTCCAGTTGTGGGGCTTGAACTCTGGGTCTGGGCAGTGTCCCTCAGCTCTTCAGCTCAAGGCAAGCACTCTACCACTTGGAGTCACAGCACCACTTCTGGTTTTCTAGGTAGTTTATTGGAGATAAGAGTCTCATGGACTTTCCTGCCTGGCCTGACTTTGAGCTGTGATCCTCAGATCTCAGCCTCCTGAGTAGCTGGGATGACAGGTATGAGCCACCGACGCCTGGCTCTAGCATTTTTGCTCAAGGCTGGTGCTCTGCCACTTGGGTCACAGCTCCATTTCTGGTTTTTTGGTGGTTAATTGGGTATAAGAGTCGTGGACTTGGGGCTGGGAAGGTGGCTCAGTGGTAGAGTGCTTGCCTGGTGTATATGAAGCCCTGGGTTCAATTCCTCAACATCACATAAGCAGAAAAAGCCAGCAGTGCTGTGGCTGAAGTGGTAGAGCGCTAGCCTTGAGCTGAAGACCTGAGGGACAGCGCCCAGGTCCAGGCCCATGACCAACAACAACAAAAAGTCATGGACTTGCCTGTTCAGACTGGCTTCCAAATGTGATCCTCAGATCTCAGCCTCCTGAGTAGTTAGATTTTAGGAGCGAGCCATTAGTCTAGTGCCTGGCCTTTCTGTGGTTCAGACCTTCATCTATTTTTCATCTCTAAAGTCAAGTGTTGCTCAGTGATAAGAGTTTGCCTGACACTGGTAATAATTGGGTTTGATTTTTCAGCATTACAGAAAAGAAAAACAGATGCCAGTGCCTCACAGCTGTGGCAGAAAAGTCCATGAGATTCTTATCTCCAACCAGTTAATCATCAAAAAGCCAGAAGTGGAGGTATGACTTAAATGGTAGAGTGTCATCATTGAGCAAAAACGTTAAGGGGCAGTGTTCTGGCCCCAAGTTCAGGCCCCAGCATGGCAAAAAATGAAAGAGCATACTGATAGAACTTTGACATTGTTTGAAACTACTATTATTGCTTCTGTGCGTGGAGATAATTTGTGTTTGAGGGCTGCGTTTATTTTGTAGTGCTAGGGATTAGAACCTAGAGCCTCATGCCTGTTATGCAAGTGCGGTACCCCTGACCTACATGTGGTTTTTTTAGTTTATTTGCTTTTATCCATTGTACACTTGAACTCAGGGCTTGGGCATTGTCCCTGAGCTTTTTTTTTCTTTTTGTCTTGAGGCTTGAACTCTGGGTCTGGGCGCTGTCCCTCAGCATTTCAGCTCAAGGCTAGCATTCTGCCTCCTTTTTTTTTTTGTCAGTTGTGGGGCTTGAACTCTGGGCCTGGGCGCTGTCCCTCAGCTCTTCAGCTCAAGGCGAGCGCTCTACCACTTGAGCTACAGCGCCACTTCCGGTTTTCTAGCATGAGCCACTGGCACCTGGCTTCCCTGAGCTTTTTTGCTCAAGGCTAGCACTCTACTATTTTGTGCCACAGCACCACTTCTAGTTTTCTGGTGGTTTATTGGTGGTAAGGGTCTCACAGACTTTCCTTTCCGGAGCTGGCTTTGAACTGTGATCCTTAGATTCTCAAATAGGATTATAGGTGTGAGCCACCACCGGAGACCTACAAGTTTTCAGCTGTATTTAATAAATATTGATTTTGAGGGGGCTGGAGGTCTGGCTCAAGTAATACAGAAACTACCAAGCATGTAGGCCCTGAGATCACAACCCCCAGAACCTCCTCTCTGCCCCCAAAAGAAAATACTGATTTTACTGGAGCTCAGTAGCAAGCAAGAGCCCTTCTCCCCAAAAATTAATTTTTATTGGTCAGTCATGGGACTTGAATTCTGGGCCTGGGCGCTGTCCCTGAGCTCTTCAGCTCAATGCAAGTACTCTACCACTTAAGCCACAATACCACTTCTGTTTTTTTGGTGGTTTATTGGAGATAAGAGGCTTCATGGACTTTACTGTCCAGTCAGGCTTTGAACTGCAGTCCTCAAATCTCAGATTCCTGAGTCGCTAGGATTACAGGCCTGAGCCACTGGCACCCTGCTGATTTTTATTTTTAGTGGGTGGATACCGAACCCAAGAATCTCTACATGCTAATAAACAAGTGCTGTACCACTGAACTACACTGCAGGCTCCCCACCCCAGTAATTCAGTGTGAGGAGATGCAGGCAGGAAGGTTTGTAAAGAGAACACATTTCCCTCTGATTCATTTATCCCAGAACCAGTTGAGCACTGGCTCCCTGCATTTTGCCTGCATGCTTCCAGTTAAGTTTGCCATACTTGGGCCTGTTGTGAGAATCTCATGCGGTTTAACATTTGGAAACCGCTTTTCAGATAATAGGTTGCATAGAAAATATGAGTCAGGGGGCTGGGAAGATGGCTCAGTGGTAGAGTGCTTGCCTTGCATGCATGAGGCCCTGGGTTCAATTCCTCAGTACCACATAAACAGAAAAAGCCGGAAATGGTGCTGTGGCTCAAGTAGAGCACTAGCCTTGAGCTGAAGGACAGCGCCTAGGCCCAGAGTTCAGGCCCCACAACCCACAAAAAAAAAAAAAAAAAGAAAATATGAGTCAGATGTGGTGGTTGTAGTGCATGCTTATAGTCCTGGCTATTCAGGAGGCGGAAGTGGGAGGAGCGCTTCATATCGAACAAACAGATGAAGAAACTTGTTGACATCCAAATTGTGTATCTGGGAGTTTCTCTGACCAGGAGGCTCGAAAGCAATGTAGGCAATACATGGCAGCAAGAGGCACTTTGCTCTGCTGCAACTACCCAAGGCTTGCACAGGGCAGGTGAAAACTTGCCACACATCAAAAAGAAGGGTGAGGTTGGATGTGGTGGGACACGCCTATAATCCCAACTCTGGGAGGCTGAGACAGAAGGATCTCTAACCTAGCCTGGGCTACGTAATGAGAACCTGTCTTGAAAATGAAAGAAAGAAAAGAAGGGAAGAAGGAAGGGAAGGAGGGGTTACACATATTGAATTGTCTGTTGCACATCAGTGCCCGGCTGAACCAACAACAAGTGTATGGAATTCTCAGTTCTCCCAGTAGCACTCCAATCCAGCCTCACGCCGACAGACTGCTCTGCTTAAAGCGATTTCAGAGCCGGCCCGGCATCTCCTTACTTTTTGATTCTCAGCCAGAGCCCCTAAGCGCGGCGGTGTGAGCGCGAGGCACCACGGGATTTGTAGTTCTGGGCTCTCAGCGCGCCGCGCGGGCCGGGGACGGGGCGGGCCTGAGAGGGAGGGGGAGCGAGGTAAGCGCATGCGTACGTGGCGCCTGCACGCACGCACGTGTGTTTTTTGAGTAGCGTAGCTGGCATCGGTGGGAATCTTTGCTCCTTTTCCTGAGTCGCGGAGTGGAGTCAGGCGCCAGGCGACCCTTCCCTAATCCGGGAGGCCCTAATGCCAGGGTTTCATGAGTGCCTTTGCCCACCGGAATTGGGCTGAGAAATCTGTCCCTCTTTTTATTTTATGTTTTACAAGTCGGAGCCAACATTGATTTATGTCTCACCCGGGGTCAAAAAGTCCCGCTGGGAAGTGCTGGGTTCTCCTTTGGGATTAGAGCTCCAATTGATTCAGTCAATATTGATTTAGGAAGAGACAATACAGGGAAAGGACGTGCTTGAGGCTTAAGGGTAAAGACCACGATTTTCAAAGAACAATTTGCAGATGGTCAGGTAATATTAACTTGGATTATCTCTCAAGGAGTACACTATTCTTATCCTCTCTGGGGAAGTTGATCCTGAAGTAGCAGTAGGTTACCCCCCCACCCCCATTCCAGGGTCTGCAACTCTTCCAAGAACGCTTTGCTCTCAGAGAGAAGGGAAAACTTCCCAGCTCTCTTCAGATGGCTTGAGGACCATGAATTTCTTTCATCCTGACACTGCCTTCGCCTAAGTTTCCTGGACAAGGGATTTCATCTCATCCAACTTCAGGTAAGGGAGAGGGTTAAGCCTTGGGGTGAGTTTATTAACTCATTTGTTTAAAATACCCTTGCACCTTTTTTTAAGTACTGCAAAATAACCGAAGCGGGGCCAGCTTTCTTTCCTTTGTTTCTGGCGTCTGAAGTCCACCCAGGACTTAGTCCCTCTGCACTTCTGTGCGTTTGGTGGGGGGGGCTCCCAAGTACCCTCTCGATGGGGCAAATTCAGTCATCCACTTCGTGGGGAAAGGGAAGGGGAGGGAGCGCAGCAGTTGGGCCGCCCCAGGGATTCCAGGGCCCCTCACACACCACTAGTCCACACGTTCTATCAAATCCCGGGCTCCAGCCAAGAATTCTGGCCACGCCGTTGTGGGATACTGGGGAAACGAGACGCTGGGAGGACCCGCTGGCTAGAGGGGCGGCCTCTCCTCCGTCACGTGACTCGGCCTGCCCGGGGCTAATGTCAGGTCGCGCGTCACGGTTGCACTTTCTGATTGGCCCAACTGGGTCAATTTGAAAGGACTACGGGGGCCGCGGCGGTTCATTTTCGGCGGCGTTTCCCCCCCTCCTTTTTTTTTTTTTATTTAATTCCTTCTCTCCGGTTCCCTCCTTCCGTGCGAGTCTCAGGAGAAGCCGCCGCGCCAGGCGCCGCCGCCGCTCAGGGCCTGGTAAGTGGGCCTCACCCAGGATCCGGACTCGCTCGGCTCCGGCTTGCGTCGACCCCCGCCGGGCTTTGGGCCTGCGCCGTGCGCGGCCCTAGCGTCGGGGCCGCGCCCGACC